GATCATAAAAAAAAAAAAAATTAAAGGAAATTTGTTATTTATATACATTAACTATATTATATATTTTATATGTGGCCCAAGATGATTTCTCTTTACTCAGTGCAGCCGAGACAAGCCAAGAGTTGGGCACTCATGGCCTAGAGTTTTTCACTGCAATGTTGCCTCATGAATATTCAGAATTTTTTCAGAAGTGATAGTTTGTAGCCCATAGACCAGTGATGGCTAACCTTTTTGCAGTTGCGTGCCAAAAGTGGAGGGAGCGGGGGGGGATGCGTGCACGTGCGTGTGCGTGTGTGCCCACACCCATAATTCAATGGCCCCCCTGCGCTCCCCCCGCTTTTGGCACGTAACGGCAAAAAGGTTACTGGTAGGCCCATTTTTTGCCCTCCCCAGGCTCCAGAGGCTTTCTTGGAGCCTGGGGAGGGCGAAAACAACCCTCCCCACCCCCCCAGAGGCCCTTTAGAGTCCGGAAACGGCCCATTTCCCAAGTTCTGGTGGGCCTGGAAGGCCCAAAAATCAGCTGACGGGCTCACACATGCATGCTGGAGCTGAGCTAGGGCAACCTTCGTGTGCCTACAGATATGGCTCCGCGTGCCACCTGTGGCATGCATGCCATAGGTTCGCCATCATGGCCATAGACTATATCTGAAAACGATCTGTCCTCACATTTAGAGTTAGATTTCCAATTTCCTGGTGAGTTTGTCTCAAAGGTGCTTTTTTTCTTTTTTTAAAAAAAGGCAACTGGACTATTTTTTTTCCTCGAGGAAAAATATGTTTTGCTTCCCCTCCAAAAAGCTTCACTGGTTCTGACTGGATGGTGGGAGGGATGGAAGGATTAGTTCTGACAGGGTAGTAAGGAGCAGATGGAAGAGTGATATTTCTTTGCAATCATCTGGTCGTTAATGCTCTCTCTGAGCTATTGACGCTACTTGGGGGTTTATCTGTGCCCTCATGTCAGAGTGCAAACAGGTGCGGAACCTTCTTGGAATTGCTGAAAAGACTGTGTTGTAGACTGGAGATGGTGTCGTATTCCTTCCTCTCGTTGAGAGATGAGGCTTTTCAATCTTAATATAGATGGCCTCTTTGATCCATCTTTCAAACCAGCGGTCTTCTCTGTCCAGAATGTGGACTTTGCTATCAATAAAAGAATGACCTTTGTCTTTCCCCTCTGTTGAGAGAGGGCTGTTCAATTTTAACATACATGGCTTCTTTTACCCCTCTTTCAAACCAACGATTCTCAACATGGGTACCACCTATCTCCTTTTAGCAGTTCCAAGATTTCATGCCCATTTGAGGGTGCAGATAAACCCCCTTCTTCTTCTTCTTGTGCCATATCTGTCATCGGACGTTGGCAATCATGTTGGCCATCCTATTTTTATCAGCAGCTGCACGAAAAAGTGCTGCTGAGTTTTGTCCAAACCAGTCCCTTAGATTTTGAAGCCGTGATGTTCTTCTTCTGCCTGGACCTCGTTTGCCTTCAATCTTTCCTTGGACATTGAGTATGCCGTATTTTTCCGGGTGTCATATCACATGTCTGAAATATTCTAACATTCACTTTTTAATGGTTTTGATTATTTCCCTTGGCTTTCCCAGGCGGCTTATCACCCTCATTTCTGATTTTGTCAGCCCAGCTTATATGTAACAGCCATCTGTAAATCCACATTTCAAATGCTTCTAGTCTCTTCAAGTGGCTTTCTGTTAGAGACCAACTCCCTACTCCGTAGAGCAGGATAGAAAAGATGTAATACCTGACAAGCCTCATTTTCAGTCTTAGGCTTATGTCGTGACTGCAGAAGATCTTTTTCATTTTGAAGAATGCTGTTCAAGCTTTCTCTATCCTTGTCTTTATTTCAGTGGTCATGTCCCAGCTTTCATGTAAATTAGAACCGAGGTACATGATCTGTACCGAGATAAACCCCCAAGGACCCTCAATGGCTCACAGAGAGAGAACTAACAACCAGAAGACTGCAAAGAAATACAATCCTTCCATCCCCCCACTATCCAATTCCAACTGTTGATACCTATCCTTCCATTCCCATACCATCATAGCTGATGAAACTTCTTGGATGAGAAGAAAAATGTCTTGTTCTTCAAGGAAAAAGCATAGTTCAGTTGCCTTTTGGAAAAAAGAAGAGCATCTCTGAGACTACCATGACCTGGATGATTTAGAATCTTCATAGACACCTGGTGAGTTAACTTCTCAGAGACACTGGAATAAAGAGATAAAATTGCAATTGATGTACCTCATCTGCCAAAGCCTATGAGAGGATTTTTCCTCTTTGGATCCTCTTACTTCCATTCTTGACATTAATTGAACTAAGGGCAACTCAGCAGATTAGCTCTTGCATGTCTGTGCACCCAAGGTATTATGCAATACATATCTTTTTATTTAATTAGTAATTAATCAGAAAAATAATTAATCAGAAAAAATAATTTTAAGCATGCTTTGCTTAATTGGCAAATACAAATACAACTTTTGACCCTTCAAGATAAAAATCCATCACTCCCTAATGATTGTGGAATGCTTTAACATTATGCAGAATTTATAGAATGTCTTATATTATTTATCTAATTCTATATGAAGGATTATTTTAGTTATCCCAAATTTCCAGTATAATTTAGAGCAGGAGTGGGGAAGTATGCCCCCATTATGATTTGGGAACTTCAATTCCCAGAATTCCGGGGCCAGTCATGCTGGCTCTGGAATTCTGGGAGTTGAAGTCCATAAGTCATTAAGGGGCAATACCAGTGGTGAAATCCAATTTTTTTTACTACCAGTTCTGTGGGCGTGGCTTGGTGGGTATGGTTTGGCTTGGTGGGCATGGTGTGGCTTGGTGGGTGTGGCTTGGTGGGTGTGGCGGGGAAGAATACTGCAAAATCTCCATTCCCATCCCACTCTAGGGGAAGAATACTGCAAAATCTTTTTTTCCACCCCACTCTGGGGCCAGCCAGAGGTGGTATTTGCTGGTTCTCCGAACTACTCAAAATTTCCGCTACTGATTCTCCGAACTGCTTAAAATTTCCACTACCAGTTCTCTAGAACCTGTCAGAACCTGCTGGATTTCACCCCTGGGCGATACTTTCCCACCTCTGATTTAGAGCAATAATTTACTGTTATGACCTTGAACAGAAAAAAGCAAATGTGAAATATTAGCTGATATGTGTCTTCATTACTTCTTCTCCTTTGTGACAACCAAGAGAAATAAATCAAGAGTTCCATTTTGTATTAGCAGATTGCCATAGAGTTGCCATTCTCCTTAATCTCAACCAATCTCACCTCAGAGTCTCAGAGTCGCACTTAATTTTTGCTGCAGAAATGGCTCTTTGCTGATTCTCAGAGATCCACATGGAAGGGGGAAGGTGATAAAATGGGCATCGTGTTTATCCTGATGCAAATCCCATAATTTATGTCTTTGCCTCAAATGTCAAGGTATAACAGTATATATACTAAATTGTATACAAGTGCATAAGGGCGGTGTGCACAGTGTGTTTGTGTTAAAAAATCATTTTGCATGTTTCATCATTATGATTGGAGAGCTAGTGGTTAAGGGACCAGGCTAGAAATAGGAGACTGTGAGTTCTAGTCCCATCTCAGGTATGAAAGTCGGCTGGGTCACCTTGAGTCAGTCACTCTCTCTTAGCCCAATCCACTTCACAAAGGTTGTTGTGGGGAAAAAAGGAGGAGCAAGGAGTATGTTTCCACCTTGAGTTATTTATAAAAAAATAATACAGACAGGGTAAAAGTAAATAAATAAGTAGTTAGCTGCTGTTAACTACTTTCTGACTTCCATCCAGTGTCACTTCATCAATGTTGCTCTCCTGCTCCCACCTAGTCTTAGCTAGGTTGTAGGCTGGCCTTGGAGGGAAGCTTTTTTCATCAGCAATGTGCAATATTCTCCCAAGGCTTTCTTTCTAAATCATTTCTAACCTTTTAGGCTGTGCTTCAGCAGACATTTGTCATTCTGCCGCCCAGAGTCAATTGGATTAAGATAGACAGCTATAGAAATTGAATAAATACATAAATAAATAATTTTTCCTAGATTTAGCTTAATGCTATTCCATCGTGCCTTCTGTTATTATGTAACTGATTTTGTTAACGATTGGAAATTTTTAAACTGCATTTTTTTAAACGCTCTGTACTACAACTTCCTATTGCAAGCCATTTTCAGTTCATCTTGTGGATTCCTTTATTCAAGCAGTAGACAGGTATTAATATTAGTATTTACCCCGGATGTTGTATTTTGAACTCACAACCTATTTAGAAGTGTTGCTAACTCTGGTAATTGATATGATTACATGCCCTCTGGAGCTCATGGATTCCCCCCCCCCTCAAGATAATACTGATCCTTTGGGTGCCAGGCTGAATCTTTCTTTCCACCAGCAGAATTTTTCTTTTAAGAAAAATAAACAAACAAACAAAAAAGAAGTGGCAGCAGAAGGATGGGACAGTTATCAGTTATCATCACGTGGCCCAAAATGAATTTCCTATACAAAACCCTGTTTGGAAAGCTGTCACATGGCATGGGGAAAAAACTACACACAACTAATGGAACAAATTCAGGGAGAGGCCCTAGAGGAAATGGTAGTGTTATCACACCTGTGAGGCAGCTTTGAAAGAAGTGGCCATCTTCTGAGTCAAGCACAACAACAGCCTAGTCTGGAGGATGGAGGGGAGAGGAACCATCGTGCTGAGAGTTTGGGCAGCCGCAGAATGTTGCCCGAAGGACAGAAATATTCTGCAGACATTCTGCAGTATCACTTGCTACTTTGCCCATGCAGTCAGTTTGGCGCTGGGTGTGTGCGTGTGTGTGAGATGTCTGTGCGCCTCTCCTTTCCTTGCCTGGAAGAACACAGCTATCAAGCTGTTGATTCAAGAAGAGCCTGTAAAAAACTGGGCTTCTCATTTATGCCTTTCCTTGACCAGTAGATGGAGCTGCCATGTAAGGTGCTGCGTTCCCCCCTCCCCATCTTTTTTCTCTCTCCTCTCCCCCTTTCCCCCCGTCTCCCCCTCCTAATGAGCTGTTTTCTGATATATGTTGGGTACCATAGAGTGAGCCTGAGAACAGGAAGCGGAGGCAGGAGCCACAAGGATTCTGGAAAGGTCTCTGTGTTTTTCTTTTCCTCCAAGAAGGCAGAAATTAAGTGAATATATAGACACCCAGCTAGAAAGAGAGAGATAACCTTGTGGCCGGAGACCTGGATCATTACAATAAGAAGCAAGCGTGTTATATGTTTCTGCTTAGATGGATGTTAGGGCTGTGCTTCGTCCTTCCCTTTTCATCAGGTAAGTTGGCAAGCCATTTCCTCGGGCTAAGGGGGAGAATGTTAGCAACCTGAGATCTTTATGGAAAAAAGAGAAGCCTCCAATTTTAGTCTCCGGCTGGGATGTACAGATGCATCCAAAGAGGATCAGGGAAAATTTAAAGCCATGTTGGATTATCCAGCTGAAGTGATGCTGTGCTGGTGGGTGGTTTTGTGCTGCTTTTTAAAAATTATTATTTCTATCTTTCTGTCCCCCTGTCTCCACTCCTCCTACCTGTTTTAGACTATAATCTTTTACACACTGACCTGAGCCCAACTGAAAGCTTTGGGACTTACCTCTGAGTAAATATGCACAAGATTATGCTGCAATAATGGCTTAACACTGTAAATATTGCATTTTTTTTTCTCTTCCTCCCCCTATGGATTGGATCAATTGGTAAAATATGACTTTATCTATGCTAAAGCGAGACCAGGAGTGTTTTATATTTCCAAAGGAGGTCATGTTGCTTCTGAAAGGAAAGAAAGAAAATGTGCTTGACATTCTTTTTTTTAAAAAAAGGCTTTAGTATAGTTATAAAGCCCTCAAATCAAAGTGCCCTAGGGAAGAAATGCATATAATAGTCTATCTTATTTTCACAAGACTGCTTTCAGAAGAAGACTCCCTTTTCCTTGGATTTTTGATCCTTGCAGTAGTATGCACCAAATCTATAAATATTATTTTTTCAACATGAAGTAGATTTTGTGAGGGGAGGAATGTGATAGTTGGAGTAGTGAAGATGAAAGAAACCTTACTTTCAACCTTTAATAAGAAGTTTCTGAGGCAAGAGTGAGGCCTGTTAGGAACAGAAGCCATCACAAGGAATTAATTATGTTATATGTTAATTCCCACTAATGTATTTCCTTTGACAATAGTGGTTCCTGCTTGTATCTGTGCCCCTGTGCATGCTAATTAAGCAGCACAGCTTTTATTCTAGAATTATTGTACTGGTCTGTACATCTTATAATTCAGATTAAATTAACCTATGGATATATTTACATTTGTGATTTGTCCTATTACTTAGATCATGTTCAGATCTCTCAATAAGATTATAGTACAGAAATAATAGTTTTTCTTTGGTATGAATTCTATATTGTTACTGCTTTCTTGTGTTGGCAACAGAAGTTTTTGGAATAATAACTTAGTTTGTAGATACTACCAAAAAGGATAGGCCTATGAAGAATGAATATATGTTAGGATAATTGTTTTCTTAATTGTGTTCAATCCTGAAAAAAAATATGATTTTAATTACTGTTATGACATATGAAAATATAAAGTATGTATCTTTCTTTGGCTAATATTTCAGTACATTTTGTTTGGTAGAGATATCAATGGATCATGAGAAGCCTGAATTTTCTCTTAATTAATTTTTTTCTAGCTTGTTGATTAAGGCAACTAGATTGGCCTGAAAATCTGGATGAGCAGTAGATAAAACCAAAGAGATATAAGAAACTCTAGCTTTTTGCTGCCTTCCAGTCATCTTATAAATATTTGCAGCCCAGATCAAGTTATACTTCCAAATGGTCAATGATACGTCACCTTTCTCTTTTGAAAGAAATGCCTAAGTCTTCCCAAAATTAAATGTCTATTGGACTAAAAGCAAAAACTGAAATCACCACTAGATGGTAGCAAAGAGATAGAGACAACCTCAACACTTTTCTGCCACTGAGTCATTCAAAGTTTTGTGTCCCATGTCTGGTTGTCCTAGGATTAAATGTTATTGGAATCAAAGGTACATTGGAACATACTTTCAGGTTGTTTCTCCTATTACTGATATTAGTATTTTTTGAAGTCGACCAAACTTAACTTCCAAAAAAGCTGTAAAAGAAAATAAGATTTTTATTGCTTCAACAATGGCTGGGTAACGCTACAGAGATGTTATTAGTCTTTGGCAGGGAAGTAAGCCCGGGAAATGAATATCTGATTTCTTCTTACTTCAAACTGAAGTCAGTTTTGATGCCTCTATTCTGAAGTACAGGGTTGAAGATTGTTGTCTATGTATATTTATAATGTCTGTGCTTGCAAAAAAATCTCTTCTATTCCTTTTTTTAGCTGAGGGCAAGAGTAAGACAATGCCAAAAGTAATATGGATCAGCAATGGGAATTAATTAAACTGTGCCTGCTGTCTATATATTTTAAATCTGAGTGAGGATTCTTATTCTCAGATAATTAATGAAGTTATTTACATTAGTAGAAGTTATATATAGTAGATATCCAAATGCTCAATTCAAGGCATGGCCCTAGCATTTTTCTCTAAGCCATAGTTCAAATACAGCATTGTGTGACATTCAGTCCACATGGAATTTCTCAATTTTAACTCCTTTCATCCTGGCTAACCACAAAACCCTAATGCAATCTGCCTGCTATGTGCTTGGTAGCTGATTTAGGGCAAAGGGAAGTTGTGTACTATACTGGAATGGAGTCGTCCACTGGTTTGGGCCACTATTGTGTTATCTGACAAGCATCAGGAATTTTGTAATAAAATGAGTTTTATAGAATAAAAGGAGAGAGAATTTCGTGAAACTACAATATCTCCCTGTTTTACACAATGCCACCAGTGTTAGCTTTTAAACATAAGTTTAGTATTCTTCTGAAAGGGCGTGAAGCCAGGGGTGAAATCCAGCAGGTTCTGACATGTTCTGGAGAACTGGTAGCGGAAATTTTGAGCAGTTCGGAGAACCGGTAGCGGAAATTTTGAGCAGTTCGGAGAACCGGTAGCGGAAATTTTGAGTGGTTTGGAGAACTGGCAAATACCACCTCTGGCTGGCTCCAGAGTGGAGTGGGAATGGAGATTTTGCAGTATCCTTTCCCTGGAGTCGGGTGGGAATGGAGATTTTGCAGTATCCTTCCCCTGCCACACCCACCAAGCCTCGCCCACAGAACCGGTAGTGAAAAAAAATTGGATTTCATCACTGCGTGAAGCCCATGTTTCAAAATATGTTCCCTAACAGAAGATAAGTTGGTGGGACTGAGCTGTGAGTTTTGCTTCTAATGTCCTGCATAGCCCCTGTCTGTCTTAGTCAGCCTATCTCTCTTTCAATGCCAGGCCCCCAAACTAGATTTGCTCACAAATATCTGGTGAGTATGGAAGGAGTGTCCATTTGAAAGAGCCAGACTCTCTCACTGCCCAAGACAGAATGATCCAGGAGGATATTGCCCAGGGATCTGAATGTACCAAGATGAGAAAGAAAACAATACCTTAATGTGGCGACAACTAACAATGATATAACAATGCTTCATAATGCAGTTAACATTCCAGAGGTGAGTTTCAGCAGGTTCTGACCAGATCGGGAGAACCGGTAGCGGAAATTTTGAGTAGTTCAGAGAACTGGTAGTAAAAATTCTGACTGGCCCCACCCCCATCTATTCTCTGCCTCCCGAGTCCCAGCTGATCGGGAGGAAATGGGGATTTTGCAGTAACTTTCCCCTGGAGTGGAGTGGGAATGGAGGTTTTACACTACCCTTCCCCCTGCCACGCCCACCAAGCCATGCCACGCCCACCAAGCCACACCCACATAATTGGTAGTAAAAAAATTTGAAACCCACCACTGTAACATACACTGCCTCACATGGGCTGGGGATCACATAAAGTCAACATAAAAAAGACATAGCATAAAGAAGATTGTTTGGCATGTTGTACTGTTGTTAAGTAATGCTTTTGGGGTTGCATCTCAGGGTTGCTTCCCCTGAAGTATTGTATGCTGTAAACTCTGGACAACAAGAGGGAGATTGATTAGGCTAGGAATATTCCTTTAGAAGTGAAAACCATGGGACCAAGGCAGAAGAGAAGGGCATATTACCAATAGCAAGTTATCTTTATATTGTGACCATGCGAATATGAATAGTATAATGTTCAGTTAAATGCCTAACATAATTTTATCATATATCTTCATCCATTCTGAGATCCAGGAAAAAGAAATAGAATTTATTTAATAGTAGGTTCAACAGCTTCAGACTACGTTTCAGTTGAATAGGCTATTTGCTTTGGAGAAAAATAGGAAACATTTATTTTTACTTCCTACATTTACCATTCAGGCCATGTAATCCTTTCGAAAGTCTAGCAATACATTAATTAAAAAATATTGAAAATATTAACATTGTATTTCCAAATAAAACACCAATCAGCAAAGTTTAATTAGGGAAGAAGCAAAATTGGAAGCAGACTTTGGCAAGAGGATTAAAGATGATGTATGCCTTGTGTTGAATTGACATAAGTAGTGACACTTTCCAAGAAATGAGGAAATGGCTTGACTGTCATAAATGACAGATTCAAAAGCAATAGGCCTAATCCACCCACCTACCCCCCAGATAGTGGATTGCAATATCCCACCACCCAAAGAATCACTTGTTTCAAAGTTGGGGTAAATCAATATTTTCTCTTACATGTGCATTCTGGTGTAACCTCAAATCTGTCAATGGAGAAGCAAACTTTCAGCCATACCAAATACTATTAAATGATAAGAATCCCTTCTTGTGTTTTACCTAGTGAAGGTTTCCTACTTCTCTTCTAGGAATAACTTTTTGAGTTTAATGGAACTTATTCCCAAGTATGGTAAATGCCTAGTAGGGTTGGGTACTCTTGGAAAATGATTCAGAAAATGGGATGGACAGTGAAACACAGCAGAACTCTCTTATTGTCTGTGGAAATATTTCCTTTAATTGAGTTTTGAAGCATGAATCTTGCCTAGGATTGTACCCCTTTATAAGGCCTTTGTAATATCACACGTGGAATATTGCATCCAGTTTTGATCACCATGATATAAAAAAGATGTTGAGACTCTGAAAAGAGTGCAGAGAAGAGCAATAAAGATGAGTAGGGGGTTAGAGGCTGAAACATATGAAGAACAGTTGTAGGAATTGGGTATGTCTAGTCTAGTAAAAGAATGACTAGGGTTGATACGATAGCAGTGTTCCCCCAATATCTGAGGGGTTGCCACAAAGAAGAGGGGATCAACTTATTTTCCAAAGCATCAGAAGGCAAGACA